TAGGTATGGGTTTTCAGGGGGGGCCTTTGCGTTGCGCCGTGGGCCTGGTGTCCAGTTGAACCTTGGGCTTGGAGCCTTGGGGCACTGACGCGCGACGGGGGGATGATGGTAGTACTCCGTATGGCCCCTTCTCTTGCTTTTGGGGGTGTGGAATGGTGAGGATGATGGCCGGTGGATGTTTATGACGGACTCGGTGAGGCGGACAGCAGTCGGCGCAACTGGGTGCGCGACGCGGTGTTGAGTAAGATAAAAGAGGATCCGGATCCGCAGAGAGATCGGAGAATATCCGTATGCAGTTTGATGTACGGTCAGAGAAGTGGTGCTCTGTGACTGGGTACCGATTTGTCTAGAATCTGTTGAGATCGACGGTGCTTGCAAGGGGTTTGAGGCTTAACCGTCGCTGTCGGCTCACGAGGCAGAGGAAAAAGAAAGGGTATGGGAGGGATGACGGGATGTTTGGTTACTGGTATATTCCCATCCGAGACTGAGGAGACGGTCCTCCGCAGAGAAAACGGGACTTATTGGTGCTGAATATGACGCGCTCGGTGGGGAGAGAGAAACGAGGCTTGGAGAGAAGAACCGAAGAGAGAGAGAGCAACATGAACAAGGGGAAGAGAAGGGAGGGGCAATGAAACGCGGGTGCGCGAGTCAAATATTCCAACTTTTTGGTTCGTTGATTTTCTTGATTGTTGCGCTGTCACTTTTGTGTGTGTCCCAGTGCAGCCGGACGGTAAGGTAGGTAGACCCGACAGAATCCAGTGTGGTCACCGTGGCGTGGCGGCAAAAACTGGGCAGGTGCAGAGTTAGGTATTGACCCGTCACGACTGTCCGTTTTGTCAGAGCCTTCCTAATTCCCGTCCCCATCGCGATGGTGCCTGCCTGTGCCTGCAGCCTGCCTGCTCAATGTCCACCCGCGACTCCAACTTCTCCTTCCTCTTCCACCGCCAACCTGCAACCCTCGGCCACTAAAGGGCCAGAACACGCGCGCCTGATCGGCTTCACACCTATTTGGGGGAAGGAAGGGCGCGACTTGCCACTGCCTGGTGCTCTTGGCCCGCATGCAACCGGGAGACTGTGACACGCGGAGAGTGCGAAGTCATGTGATCTTAGGCACCAGCCCCCTCCAGCAATACGTACCGGGCATGAGCCATGTCATCGATTTTGTGGCTGCGCATAGCTCCGGAAATGCCTGAGTCATCACGGAAGCATTGATCTATACACGTGACTTATATCCACCTGACGCTCCATGTCTTTCTAGATCCATGGCACGTGAATGGAGATACTGCAGGCAAGTGCTGCGCCACAAATCTTGGACCCCACCCTTGAGTCTGAGGCTGGAGCACACCCCGTAAATGCCGTCAAGCCTCAGAAGCCACAAGGTCCATTCGGAGCAGTGTGAGGTGGACGTCAGTCGCTCCCCGTCAGCTAAGTGTCGCGCCCCACCATCGGCCGCTTGCTCTCCATCTCCAGTGCAGTTGACGTCTCCCAACTGCATTTGCGACCAATCCTCATCAAGACCAGCTTAACATTCTACGACACCGAGCGCTCGGTCAGGCGTATTCTTCAAGATGCCGGTATGTCTGTGTGATGCCCATCCCATAGGTAGCTCGCCTGAGCTCTCTCTGTCTCTGAGGCTCTGGCACAGCCCGTACACTTCAACCTACTCCCCCAACCCGCCTAAACCGAGCTGATGATGACCTTTACCCAGGCCTACAATTCCATGTTCAATGCCGACCCGAACGTCCCTCGCACAATAGGCAACTTCCCGCTGCTGCCCTTGCGCACAAAGACCCGCGGCCCGGCCTATACTCTTCCCTTCCCCAACCCGCCTCTGCCCGCCAATGAGTCTCCCGACCCAGACAGCGAAAGCTACGACATCCTCGACGAGGTTCTCGCCCTATTCCGCGCCAACACCTTCTTCCGCAACTTTGAGCTTCAGGGCCCCGCCGACCGCCTTCTGGTTTACGGCATCTGGTTCGTCAGCGACTGTCTGACCAAGATCAAGCCTAGCGCCGGCGTGCGTGATGCTTCCAAGGATGTCATGAACGTGGCCCTCGATACCAACTTCGCCATTCCCGGCGACCCGGCGTGGCCCCTTAACCAGGTACGGCAGCCTTCCGAGGCCCAGTGGCATTTCTTGACATTGACAATTGATGTAGATGTACGAGCCCCCGCGCGATAGACAGGACGCCGAGCAACTCCGCCAGTATATGTCCCAGGTCCGCCAAGAGTTGGCAGTCCGGTTACTGGCACGTGTGTACGAAGAAGGCGGCGATGGAAAACCGAGCAAATGGTGGCTGAGCTTCACCAAGAGAAAGTTCATGGGCAAGGCGTTGTGATGACGGTCGTCGAAGTAGAATCGCCAGAGACAAGCAAATACCTTGGTTGGGGAAAATGTTGAAGCGCATAAGACAGGACAATATGATGATGCCAATTACTCCAACTACAGCTTGATGGGCTTTGATAGGAGGATGCTAGGGTATCTATATTCAAGCCTTTCTCTTTCGTCTTTCCCCTCGACCACCGCCGAATGGTGCGTCAACGTCTCCTCAGTATCCGGACTTGCTCGTTTTGTTCATGCTTCCACCTTTCTCCTCTTGAACTTGCCTCTTGCCTCGACCTTACCCTCTGCCGGAACTGCCTTCCAACCCGTAAAAACGTAACCATCCGCCCCGCCGCGCCCCATCATCATGGGGTGTGTGCGACCGGGCAGAACTTGCCACCGCTTCGCGCGGCTCGTCTGGACATTGGCGCCCAAGAGCAGAGTCGGGTTGATGGGGAAATCGTCTGAACCCTCCCATCGCTCCAACTCCTGGACAGACTTCCCAGCTGCCTCGGCCGGAGGATTTGACGACCAGCCTGCGCGGCGGGCAATGCTGAAGCAATCGGCCAGTTCCGTCAACGGCTCGATGCTTTGCGAGTAGACGGCAATCGGCGCTCCACCGGCCAGGAGTGGCAAGGTGTGACGGAGGATGGACACCGTGTCCATCGTGCTGGCGATGACGAGACCGGAAAACCCACCAGCGCGCGTCGAGTCCACAATGTAGCGGGTTCTCGCCCAACGTCTTCGCTTCCGGTGGTAGTTACCACGCCGGTTAGCCTTCCATGAGTGCAGCTCCTCGTCCGAGACCTCGGGGGGCGGTGTTGAATATGTGACATCCTCCTCGGGCTCCAAAAGCTGCAGCCATGAAATGGGCAATAGGTTGGTAGCGAGGGGATGAAGCGGGTAAGGCGGGTTTGGATTTGTGCTGTCAAAGTTGTAGTATTTGAGGAGGGCGAGGTTTGGCTGGCTGTTGGGGTGGATGAGCGTCAAGGTGTTGGTAGGGGCAAACATGGCTTCAAAGTCGTCGCGACGGGGCGGGTGTCTTCGTCGGGGTTGCTGCGGCTTTGTCGTCTCGCCATCATTTGTCATTGTGGCATCAGCTGTGGCCTCCTCGGGCATTGTTGTTGTTGGGTCTTGTACTGCAGTCTCTGTGCTTGTCTCCTGTGTCTGTTCTGTCGCGGCGACGTCAATGGTGACGGTGGTGTTCTCTGCTGGCTTGACTCCATTGGCTTCTTCCTTGCCAACATCTGTAGCATCCTCCACTTCTTGGACCTCTTCGGGGTCTTTGGGGTATAGTATGCCCATCCTCTCGGCCATGGCGGCGGTAACAAGACCTCCTGTGTCCTCCACCACAAGCCACCGACCTCCAATCTCGGATTTGTCCAACATGCCAGACCCATCAATCGTCACGGTCTCAGGCTTGTCCGTGGGAGATACGCCGCCGAAGTGGACGTTGGCCCAGGAGTTCAAGAGCCCCATCATCTCTTCCCGCATCTCCAGCACCTTTCCCGCATCCTTCTCTTCTAAGAGCCACTTGCCTAGCGTCAGAGGGTCAAGTGGTTGTATCATGAACCGTCGAATATACTTCTTGGTCTTGAGCAACTTGTACTTGGCGAGAGAGAAGGCCGTCTTCTGGTCAATGGCGGTATGCGACAGCAGTAGCTTTGCGATGATCTCCTTGCCGGCGTCTGTGTTGCCCTGCTTTAGCTGCTCAATCTCCTCGGCGGTCAAGGTCTGGCGGGCGGCGTCGTCGATAATCTCACGTCGCGAGTGGGCAACTACGTTGCCGCTTTCCTGATCGACCAGTTCGAACTCTGCGCCATCGGGGGCGGCAATGACATTCTCAAGAGTGGTGCCCTCCTCCTCGGTGTTCTGGGCGTTCAAGTCGGCCAGGGCGTCGGCGTGAATCTCGCTCGTAGAGACGACTCGCAGTCTGTTAAAGTTCTCGCCATCCCGTCTATCTTGGATCTCGTAGGTGATGTGAAATGGGCGCTCAATGATGAGGTTGCTAGGGAACGAGCCGAGTTTACCCAGTGAAATCGTGCTGGGAGCAGAAAAGAAAAGAGGTTAGCTGTCGTCACATCAAATGTCTACTTGATGAACCTACGTATTAGGTACAATCTGCAGCACCTTCGTATCTTCTGAAAGCAACTTCAGAGACACCCATTGGTGCGGTTGGACAACGTGGTGCATGGTTGCGACTGGATAGGCTTTACCGGGCTAAAGGTTTCGTCCAAGCGAAGCTGTCGCGAGAAAAAAAAATGTTTATGAGCGAAGCGTCAATTAGCGGCCTTATCGTTATCGGGAAACTCGGTCGCCACCAACCTATCGACGGCTTGGTGCCAGCTTCCATGGAAGGGACTAAGGACTAAGAATAACAGGCCGTCCAGGTACCCCGCGCGGGGCACTTGATCAACTAGTCGCCGGAACATCAGAAGTTCAGAACGAAGACCCTGTAAATTCAGCGTACCTTAGTGATACCTCACTGCGTGGGGAACTTGATCAACCCAGCTCAAGTTATCAAATCCGACATTCTATCTTGCAATCAAGCGAGCCAATCTCTCACCAAAGCCTTCCGTGTTTATTCAAAATAGCAAAAGTAACGCATTTCTCAATACTGCTCAGTCTGACCAACTTGTCTGGTGCGCGCTGGGGCCTAACTTCTTTTCAGCACTTATCAGAGGTTATCCCCCTCTCGGCGTGGAATGTTGCCTGTACCAAGCATTTTGTTGGCCCGTTGTTTCATCCCGACTAGCCTTAAGATACCTGCTGTGGCATGGAGAAGGAGAGTTAGGGAACCGAATAGCAAGAGGGGTAGAAGGGTGTAAGTCGTAAAGACTGAGAACGAGTATTGATTAGCAGGGGCTTGAAAGCATCACCACACGAAGCCTGAGATACCAACTTACAAACACCACCCCCTGTTTGCTTGACAACATCAAACAGTTCGCCGCGCATGATGGGCAGCGCGCCCTTTGTCCATCTCCATGGACCAATAAGACGAAATTTGGTGTTAAAGTTTGATCCCATTGCCCATGTGAAAAGTGCTTTGAATCCTTGACGCTTCATAAAAGAAAAGGTCGGCGCGCTGCCCATGTCGAGAGCAAGCTGATATGCGTAGGATTCCTGTTCAACACCGTGCTTGCTCTTGAACAAGTCATGTCCGCCTCGAGCCTTGAGAGCGTAGTCGATCTCATAGTGGGGAATAGCATCATCATTGGACTCTCCTTGGCTGGCATCAGGAGCATGCAGCGCCATCTGTTGAGGGTACTTGTGCCGGAGGAGGTTAAGAACCCATAGTTGCGCTTGTAGTTCGGCGAGAGGCGGGATAGCTCCTGAATAGATGGTGTTAGCACGGCAGACTTACACCCACAACAACCAACAGGGGCCCTACCAATGCCAGGCCGTACGAAGCCAATGAAACCAGCAGTCACCTCTCCGCGCCTCCAGATCCCGCGGACATCCAGCTCACTGGGTTCCGGGTAACTGTCGTCCAGGAAATCGAACCGACGCACATATCCAGTTGCGGCGACCACCAAGTCGGGCTTGATGACTCGAGATAGCGCCTCAACGTGCTCACGCTTCTTGCTGTCCGGAAACACGACAGTCCCATCGTCCCGGAAAGCCAATGGCCACGGTGCCGTCAATATCTTTCTGCCACTTGTGTTTTTCAACTCAATATTCATCACAAAAGCTCTGATGCGAGAGAAAATGTCTTGCGGCCGATTTCCCTCATTGAGATATGGCAGCGCGCGGTCGGACTTGACCAGAAACACTTTGCAAGTCAGCCATGCACTCATTTGAACTATTCGTATTCATTCATAAGAGCGAAGAATATCTCCTCTCGGGAGAATACTCACGTGAGTCAACGTTATTGCGTTCACCCTCAATCTCTCCGACCCACTGATCCGGGCCAGCCGCCGTCCCGCCAGAGAGGTAATGAAGAGCCTTGAACGTCTTGTCGTACACGCTCCAGAGCAGATTGGAGTGTTGAAGACGCTCTGGAAGATATGCAGTGTCGAGGAAACTTGCGATTGCTGTGTCGACTGGCTTCTGGTGAGGATCCGGCTTCCAAACCTGCATGACGACTGGTAAAGGAACAACCTGTGATAATCAGCGTTGATCTATGCTAGACCAATCAAATCGCATTATCAAAGTAGAAGACAAGTTAGGTACCTTCTTTGCGCAAAAGAAACCACCTTTGTGACACATCACTACTTCCCTGGCTTCTGAAGTTACGGCCAGGTGGGCTAGGTCCATTGCCGTTTCTCCGACTCCTAGGATCATCACAGACGTATTCAACCCAAATTGCGTTCTTTCCTTCACTTCGGAAGAGTGGAGATGCTTCACGTTCTCCAGACCTTCGATGTATGAGATGGACGGAACGTTGTTGAGACCGGAGCACACGGCGATGGCATCACAGTCCCATGACTCCTCTCCATCTTGGCTCTCTGCAACTTCCAAACCTGGAGAGCGGCGAAAAAAGACGCGGTGGCCATTGGCTGTATGAGAAACTCGAACAATCTCCGTATTCGTCTCTATAATGCCCCAAAGATCAAATTGGGTACAGAAGCCCTCGAGGTAGCGAACGTAATCCTCTACCGGCAGAAAGTCAGGTAGGTCTTTTGGCACACGAAAGTCCGAGAACGCCGTGAGATACTTGGACGACACCATCTAGGAGGTTTTACATCCATTGTCAGCTGTCTGGCATACTTTGTGAATGGATTTAGATGATTATGCGAAGTGAGGCTCCCATATTGAATGATGTACGGTGGTAAGGAGGGTTGATGGGCCAATACCTCGGCTTCTTCGTAGACCTTATACTTGTAAACACCACCCACTCCGTCTTCCCTCTCAAAGATCCGGACCTCGATATCAAGTATGCCGAAGTACTGTCTAGCCTGACGAAGGTACTTAGCTGTGACCAAACCAGAAGCACCTGCGCCGATGACAGCAACTCGAATGGGCTTCATCATCGATCCCGCCGCTCTCTCTATGATGGCAGTTTGGCTCATATTGCAGACCGCAATTTCTCGTCGTCTTTGAACTGAGTGTCGCAACAGCTCCGAACTGTGAATGACGTTCAAGGTGTCGGAAGTTTGTCGTTGGAATGAAGTCTGGCCTGTCAGACTTTACCTAAGTATCATAGTAGTCGATGACTTCGAGATCAAGGAAATTTGAAACAAGAGTTCTGTTTCGATGTAAAGATACAAGACAGTGCACTCGGACCTATTGCGTTTTGTATGCAGTCTTTGCTATTTCAGCCAGACTACGGCCAATGGCTAATGAATCTCACTTGGCCTTGACGCGAAGGTAAAGGGGAATGTAGAAGCTACAAGGGACTGATGAGAGTCGATTTCCGGAAAATTCGGACTTTGATTGAGTAGGTATTGAATGTGTATTTGCTGGAAGTTTCAACAAGATTGACTCAAAAGCAGCAAGCCATGAACTTAGGGAGGGAAACTCGGGCGACCAGGTTAGGTTCTGGGAGCTAAACACAAGCGAATCTGCAAATCGCAATCCAGACACGAGGTTGTAGGGAACATAAGATTTTAGTTCAAATCCTACGACAGCATGAGCACAAGCGACCGACTGCCAGCAACGCAAGGTCGTTCTGCGGTTTCTAATTAGTGATCTCACCTGAAAGCTGCATGCTTACAGTCAAGACATCAAACTTATCTACCACTGGGACCCTTACTCTTTCGGGAATCAGAAGATCCCGTTCACCCTCACAACTCGCGCTGACGCTCACACCATCTCAAGGCAGTTGCCCAATCGAAGGTGACGTTCGGCCGGAGCTGAGTTGGGGGCGAAGTGCCAATGTGGCTCAGCCGGGCCCCGAAGAATGTTGGACTCTTCGGTGAGTTGGAAATATGAGATGATTGGATGGTCATAGTAACCCAAATGTGGGAACACCATGGTGGTAAGGCTGAATTACAGAGGCAGATGATATGATACCTGTGTCAGATCGATCCGGGCAGCCGATTTCATGCAAGGGAAGTCCAAATTGTCTTGTAAGCCCGGCGCTTACGCTCCAACTATTGATTTGAGCAGCAAAGCAGGGACTTTCGTCAATTCACGAAGCGGGGCGTTCGAAAGTCTCCAGCAACTACTAAGGTAAGTAGACTCGACTTTGGACCGACTGCGTGCTAAATCGTATCAGGAGGTGCGCCGGGTTACAAGGATCTTGTGTAATAGATTAAATAATTCCGATGTCGCCTACCAGGCATCCGCTACCATGGTGCTTCTGAGATACATTAAACCTGAGAGCAAAGACCCGAACTGGCTTTAAGGCGATTCTCCATTAGTGAGATGATCTCGATCTTTGCCAAGCCTCTCGATTTCTTCTCTTGGCCATCGCAAATACTGTCTATACTGAGGCCCTAAAATGAGTGCGATGCCATGAAGAATGTGGCTTGCCCACCCCTTTATGTACCACATCCATTCGAGCGACTTGAGCAACACAACAAAGTGTGCCAGGATGAGAAGTGCAAAGGGCCTCTTATGTTTTAGACAAAGCACGAAATCATCATCGATACCATAAATGCAACCGATAATGACCTCCATCTTGCCGTTACAATCAAGCCTTGGCCTTGCAGTTGTACCAAAAGTTGTCTCAAAGCAAGACGAAACCCGTTGAATCATTTCCAAGTATACGGGGGTTTCTGGATCGCCAGAGCATGTAATCAAGTCTGTAAGACTGCTCAAGGCAGGCCCCCATTGGACTAGTCGTCTCGTGGGACCTGGCTCTGGGAGTGACTTCTCGTCATCGGCAGCCGAGAGGGGACCCAGAACTCCAGAGTAGATGGCATCCCATCCCATTGTTGTAACAACAATTCGAACACCCCTAAGTAATTCGAACCATGCCACTTCTTCTCCGTCTGAGACTATCAAGAGGTGTTCTGGGCTAGGCTTCTTTGCGAATGCATACGCACAGACAAGCGTGGTAGATATGTAAAGTGCTCCAGCATAGTCTTTATTAGATGTTGGCATGATGGCCATCACTTGGCGTAGGCCTATGGTGTAGTGAACATCTGCGAGCTGCTCATATTTAGATGACTCGGTAGAGTTCTCTTTCTCTTTGGATAAGTGTAGTGCGGAGATTGCGAGAAGCAGATGCAGGACGTAATGGTGCGTGAAGGCAAGACGGGGGACTCTCTCCCGCCAGAATCGCGAATTTGAGTATGTAAGATCGTCAGACGTTAAGAAGTGGTGCTGCAACTCGAGATCATCTACGGTCCATATCCAAGGAAGATCCGAGGCTACTTGTTCCTGCTGCTCCCCGCTCTGCGTGACTACGAGAGCTGTGTCGATTGACCTGGATCTTAGGCTATCGGGTGATTCGAAGAATTCTTGGGGGCTTAGCCCTTTGGATGCCGTATCCCAATCTTTCCGCGGTCTCCCTCTTCTCCGCGAATTTCCATGAGAAACGGTCTCGACGATAACATCATGAGTTGGGACGAGGTCTGTGATTGATGCTGAAGCGGCAAAATCGCAGGTTATAATAGCTTTCGAGCATTGCCCACATTGGGGTTTGGCTTCATCACACTGGTGTCTGGGTCAGTATTAAAGTGGAATGTTAGGTTCACATTGCGTACCTTGATTCTTCTTCGCTTGCAGGTTTTACACCCGTTACGGGACTTCTTATGTGATCGCCTTTTTGTGATGTGGCACGTCGTACACGTACAGCCAGGATCTCCGTGTTTCGCAATTTTCGCGTCCGGTTCACTCATCGCTGTTGATATATCCTAGATCCAGCTGCCGTCTGAGATGAACAATTCATGTGTGACTGACTGAGGGGTCTCGAGGCTTCTTGAAGACTTTTCTCCCCCAAGGGTGAGGAAAGGGGGGCGTTGAAGTAAGGATAGAGGATTAATTCTAGGAAGGCAAAGGGGGGGTTGCCACTAATTTTTAAGGCTCTAGGGGGCATTATGAACTCCCCTGCCTAGCACTGCCTCGGTGGGCCGTGCCCCCTCCCCCCCCTTCTGCCCGTCTATACGTGGAGCCGCCTTGTATCTACCGCTTTGAGAAGCGTTTGTGACAATAGCTTCTGTTGTAGGCAGCTGCTTACTCAAGTATATTACTTCGCCTTCGTTCGATAGACTCTAGAAATACACATCTTTACAATTGTAATATGGAGTGTACAGCAGGACACTTTATAGTCTGAAAGCTGGAGCCCAAGGTCGATTTTTGAAGACCACCCGCTAAAGGACACGCACAACTCATGCCTTTTAATCTGGACGAGGCCACCAACTCCTTTATACAGCGCATGACCAACCTGCCGGGTCTCCAGCCGTCGTCTTGCTGTATACTGCCTTCTTTGGGTACGGGCAGATAACCTGCCTCTCATGAGTATTGTCCGGCTTTGTGATGGTCACTGGAGAGCTTTCAGGAACTGTCCCATTCTCGACCCAAGACCTCAACTGATCAAATAACGCGATGGGCTGGCCGCCGCCAGGGCCGCCCCAGCAGTGCCCCAGTCCCGGGACTGGGAAATATCTATAGAAGTCTTGTGCATCATCTTGGTGATTCAAGACGTCCTTATAATACTTCAATGTATTGTTGGGCGGAATAGTCGGATCGGCCTTAGGCTGTGTTAGTCCGTACTGATAGGTACATGTACACGGGGACTGTACATGTAATAGCTGATGATATGCGGAGACTTACCAAGCCATGGAAAGTGATCATCTTGCCTCCAGCATTACGGAAAGATGAAAGGTCTGGGTCATCAGTCCCTAGGTAAGCATCATACTGTTGTCTGAAAGAGTGGTATGCTCTCTCCAATTCCTTGAAAGATATCTTTGTAGTAGTGATAGCGGGATCTTTGCCGATGAAGTAGGCCAACAACACTGTGACAGCGGCGTTGGGAACTCCAGTACACTTCCCATCTTCTCTACAGCTAGTTTGAGCACCAAACACTAGATCGGTGCCCATTTCCAGACCATACAGGTATGTTGACTCTCCTTCAGCCGTAAAAGGGCCCGTCCACATAGCATCCGCTACAGCGGCTGCCGTGTAGCTGATATTGGCCGATTTCCCGGTCAATGGGCAGTTGAACTCTGTTCCGACGTAGGCGTGAGGATCAAACATGGTCTTGCAGGCAGTTGTGTCGGCGATAAGGCCATCCTTAACTCCATCAAGCCCATCGCAAGCAGATACAGCAAGTGCAGTGAGCTGTTGCAGCTCGCATGGGTGAGGATACTGCTCAGTGACGTCCATATAGACCCTGGGCCATATGGTGTTGATGAGGACCCCGGCCCAGTTGATCGCCGGGGCTGCTGCGATGATTCCGTCGTAGATCGATGGGTACCTCTGGGCAAGTGCCGCACCCTGACGACCTCCTTGGGAACAACCATTCCAGTACGAATATGAAGGCTCCCTGCCGTAGTAGTTTTCAATGAGGTGCTTGGCGATGACTGCCTTAGGTTCCTACGTATTAGCGAAGTCGAAGCCTCGACACGGTTAAAGACGCCCACTTACCTCGTCATACAAGGTCTGTGACCCAAGATCCTGCAATGCGTACAGATTTGAGTTACCTGGACTTATCAGAGCCCACGAGTCCGGCCCCATGGCGTCCCCAAGTCCAGAATCCGTGGTTACAGTAGCATAACCATCTGCGATAGCGCCGGCCATAGTCGTATAACTCAGAAGCATTCTCCCAGCGCGCCACCCCCCACCTCCCACAGCTTGAAGTCTTCCGTTCCAGTCCTCGGTTGGAAGCCAGGTCTCGACATTGACAACATCACTATGGCCAGGGTGAGTGTAAGAGACGGTGATATTGCAGAAGGAGGCATTATGTATCTCGACAGCTGGCTGAGAGAATCTCCACTCTGCAGGTATAGGCCCGCTGAAGTTTGTGACCAGAGACGCTTCCAAGGAAATAAAATTTGCTCCTAGCAACGATGGCGCCGAGAATGTTGTGGCAGCGCATGGGTTAGGATGGATGCTTGTGCTGGAAGCCCCCAACCTTGGTTGTAAAGCTCCGAGAGGAGCCTGGGAACCGGGGCCTCCGGGA